TACTAGAGTTTATATTCACAGCCTTGATATGTCAGTTCCACGCACCTTGACTGCAGCCTTCCCAAGTACATAAGCACACACTTGGTTCCAGTTCCACAAACACACTGACTTCAAGGTAAACATATATTAAGTGCTTGACTGAGCTGGGGCTATTCCTGATTTTCCAGGGCAAGCCTGCATGATTAAACAAGAGTACTTCTTACGAGAGCACTAGTACTAAACTGAACTTTATTAAAACATAATCACATCCTTGAATGGAAGGTTTTAGGAGAACATGATATATTAGCACTCACCAGGAGCAGATACGCTAAATAAATGAGGACTGCCATGCCACTGACTCGGATTTACTTGGTTACGAAACCACGCAAAGTGAACTCTGAAAGTGAGAATCAGGTCTCTGTAATGTTTTTGTTTGCACTGAAGAAGAAAAGCACTTTGCTTTGCTTCTCGCTCTGATTCTTTTCACCAAAGTACTGCCATCTGGGATCTGAAAGGAGCCAGCCACTGGGCCAGAGGAAGGACCAAGCCCATGCTGCTGCCAGCCACTGTTGCACCAGTGCTATCTCTGGAAAACATAAATAAGCTGCTCTGCTGCTGAGCAGGGATTTTCATGGCTTTGGTCTACGTTATCCTCCTTTGGTGACCTGTGTAGCTGAGCACACTCTGCCTCCTGAAGCTCCACTGCATCTCTCCTGATTGCCAGCAATTCACTCTGTCTAAAGCATCTTGTGAATCAAGGGCACACTTCCAACACCCCTCTCCTCTTTAAGGCCTCTTTAAGGCACACTGAATCATTTCTTCAATCAAATCTCATTGCATTGGTTTGGGAAGTGCCTGGACATCACTAATGTGGAAGTGTCAAAGAACTAGTGTCATTATTGTTATAATTATTCTTACAGAATGAAAAATACACTGACAGCTGTTAGGTGTAATTTTTGGATGTTTGGCCTGAGAGCAAATTAATTCCCTGACCACTCCATATTTATGGCTTTATTAGTCATAATTTTCAAACAAATTCTATATCAACCCTGAGAAAGAAAATATCAGCTTCATTTGCCACAGTTTCATTTTTCAAGATTAAAAAGGAAATTACCACAAGGCTTCCTTAATAGAAACAAAATCTAAACCAAACTGCTCTGAAGGTCAAGTATTCCACAGCATCCCAATCTTACGCACAGGATGCCACCAGTCACAGGTTAACACTCCATCATCTGTTACATTTGGACTCCTCATGTGGAGATTCAAGGGCAGCAGGGCTATGAGCTAGAAGTCAGTTCTCCCATAATGTATTTTGCCTTCCCTTTAACGTTTAGCCTGGTATACCTCTCAGACTTCCTGCAATCCCAACCACTGTTAACTAAAGATCTGGGTTGGATTTTCAAAATCTCACTTGTTCAAGAAAAGTGTAAATCTTTATCAGAATTTCCTAGGGGGCTCTCTGAGCTGACTTGTGGAGCTGATGGATGCTAATGTGCTTTTTTCCCCCATCAGCGTACAGTAAAGGGAACAACGTATTAGTGGCCAAATGAAAAATGGTGGGGGTGTTCAGTAAAATGTCAGGAACCTTCAAAAGAAATAAATCATTTCTTATTATCCTTCAGCCCACAAGTTTAAAACAGCTTTTGCTTCCAATGCAACAAGCAAATACTTAACTGCTCCCCACAGATCTCAGAATTTGAGGCTGGCCACATTTCAATAAAATGTTCAAAGAAAGAAAATATTGAGAAAATATACAGCAAGTTACATTCAAACAACCCAAATCACATTCATCTGATAGAAGGCAATAATTACAGTCTGAAGTAAAATTCCAGATTTAAACACTCTCAAACTAATTCACTTTAAATATCTGGGGCCACAGACAGAGTAACTTGCCTGCTTATAGCAGAGACTGAGGACCAGAAAACAGTCAGATGCTATATGCCCAGAATTCACACCAGCCTTGATTATATAGTCTGCAAAGCTGAGATTTGCTGTCCTGAGAAGATCTGGGATATAAGCTACTCAACCAGGTCTACCTCACTCATATGTTTCAGCATAAGATCTTCTGGGGACAAAGAAAAGCTGCAGTTATTAAAGCAGAGGAGCACAAATAATGTAGTTTCAGCTTATACAAACTGCCATGACCCAGAGCAAAAAGCGCTGCCAGACAGAATAGAGAAGGACATGGAGAGTCTACACAGTTCTCCTGAGCAGGGTGATCTAATGGATAAAACTAAAGAGAAAGAAATAATGAGAGAAACTGCAAGTGAAAACCTGTCTACAACTTTCCAGTTAAGCTGTGAACATCCAAGTGATTCATATAACCAGATGAGTTTGCAGACTTTTGAGCACTTCCTTGGTAAACAAGCTGAAACCAAACTCTGCATCCATTACAGACATATAAGCACATGTCAGTCATGGCTCTGGCCTCTTGAAATAACAGATCTTATACAGGATTGCCATGGCAGACGGTGTTCCTGGTTTTCCCAAGGGGCATGTTACAAAGAAGCTCCAAATGTCTTTAATGAATAACAGTTTAATGAATAACATAGTTTGCTGTCTAAGAGGCAGCCGTATAATAATGATACTGTTGAGAAACTTGTTGGTATGGCAAGGGCATAGGCCAGTTGCAAATACAGGGAGCATCTCTTCTTGCAAGATACACACAAAGACTGGAAAAAAAAAAAAAAAAGAAAAGAAAAAAAGAAAGAAAAAAAAAAAAGATCATAACTGAAAGAAACACGAAACATTTTCTCTGGTTTTAGACTTTCCAGAGTGGCCTGTAGTGGAGCTGAGCTGCGATGATGTACTGCTTAGTTAAGCAGGACTTGTATGCATGTGTGCATGCACCAATAAATACAAAAAGGACACACTAAGAATATATATGACTTGTTTTACTAATTTCTCAGCTCACTGAAAAACAAACAAGCATGCAAGATCCTTCATGTAGCCACCCACTCACAAACAGGTAATAAGACACCATCAGCAGGCTCCTGGGAAGTAAAAGATCATTTTGTTATTGATCTAACAAGGGAAATCAAACTTTAACAGGATTTCCTATAAGCACAGAGTAGAACAATCTAATTATGAAAATTCCAAACTGGGTATGTTATTATTGCTGGTGAAACCATATGGTGAGCATCATTTATAAGTCCCAGGGAAACTGGGGCAGCACTGCAGTAGCTAGGTGCTGTATGAACACCCAGGACAGCATAGCAGCACAAATGCCTGGCCCACCCTCACAGCCTTTATGTGGTGAGCTAGGAAAACTCATTCAGCTCACAGCCTTTTCCCAGTCCACACCTCACTTTGCAGTGCAAACTTCAAAATTCATGCCTGATCAAAACAAAGCAAATTGGCAGATCTCAAGTGTAGCCGTCATTCCTTCAGAGAAGTACTGATGTTGACTGCCAAAAAATGCCCACCTATTCCTCAAAATCAGGAATCAGGGCTCCCATGTTCCCTGCAGAATAGTTTATCTGAGTGCTGGGTCCCAAAGACATACTCTCAGTAAACTCAAAGTTTGGTGCTCCTGGCTAATAGGAAGAGAACACTTTTCCTTCTTTCTGTATCTAAAACATCTTCATTATTGAATTATCTATTTAAATATCCAACTGAGTTCCAACATGTTTTTAGCTGCAAGGATTTCTCCTTTCACCGTCCTCTGTTAAACAGACAGCCAGACTAACTTGGCAATTAAAATAAAGGTGTATTTACCCATTTTACTTGAGCAAGGTTAGAGCCAGTGCCATATCATGTAGGCTTAAAGATTTTGCTAATTCACTTTAATCCATTTAAACCTTTAAAACACAGATAATGGGAAACAGACAAGAAACCTCTTGCACTTTCCAAATGAAGAGACAGTCATTTCCTCCTCTCTAAAGAAGGGTAAAACTCTCTAGAACAACCCGGAAAGGTCAGCAAAGAAGCCTTTGACTACTTTCTTCCTGGAAACCCGATCTCAAAGGTCACGAAACAACAGCTAAATTACCTTTAGCAAAGAAGGTAACCAGAGACACATTGCAACGTACTTAATTGCCTTTAGCAAGAATGTAACAAGAGATGCATGGCAGGGCCTTAAATGGGAACCCAGATCAATACTTCAACATTTAGGAAGAAACCACTTTTAGCAAGGAGATTCAGAAGCTGATGATGAGCTTAAGGCTGGGGTGAATGCAGAAACAGCAGCAACAGCAGCATCGTGGGCTAAGTGCCATGCAGGCAGACTGCAGCATAGGGGTACATATACGCTCATGGAAAATCCATCTGGATGAGAACAAGGATAACCCAGTCTTTCAAAGGAACAGTAAAAAGATTGGCCACATTTTTGTGTGGCATAGCAGGATGCTGAAGTCATAAATCTTAGAACTGTAGAACCATAGAATCTTTTCAGTTGGAATGGACCCTTAAAGGATATCTGGTCCTCTGCAGTAAACAGAAACATCTACAGCTTGATCAGGTGCTCAGAGCCCCATCCAACCCAGCCTTCCAAGTTTCCAAGGATGTGCCTTCCACAAAGGCAAGATGAGTGTCTAAGTGAAAGAGACAGAAGAATTACTGGCTGAGGTGGTAGATACATTCCCCAAAATGTCAACAAACAACATGGCAGCCGTGTGGTGCAATTTTAAAGCAGTTTAATTCTCCTGCATTCAGTCATGTCCAAACTCTCTGTCGCTTTTCACTTATTACCTCTGTAGCTCCAGCCAGCTGTGAGAGGTATATAAACACACGAAACGCAGTTTCAATATAGTACAAGATCTCAGGGAGACTGTAGCAGAACTGGAAGGAGAGGCTCTTAGACCAGTACTTCCAGAATGCCCAAAGTGACTGCTATGAAACCTCAGAGAGAAAACCCTGCAGAGCTTCAAAGTGAATGCAGTTCACCGGGCCACTTGCACTGACCTGTGGATAGCAGGTGTAAGCAAAACAACACAGACTAGACCCTTCTCCATAACAACACCAGGAAGGACTTCAAAATGAATCATCCTACTGGAACTTGAAACAGAAACAGAAGCTCTTACCTTCAAAAGCAATTGTGGGGTGTTCTTTCCTGACACACTGCTGATGTTCAGCTTCAGAGTATTCAGGTACATTCTGTGATGCTGAGAGATGAAAAGCAAGAAGAAAAAGGCTTGGCAATGACAGGGAAATGGCCTTTAATCTTGAAACAACCATGACTGAAGGGCAGTTGCAGATCTAGCTTCCAAGGTGGGCCCAGGGAGGATACCTGAAATACAAATAATTCCACTTTCAGAAAGATTATGTTTATCCAAAGTTTGCAGCATAGGTAGGGGAGGATGGAATTCCCCTTTCATCCCAACCCTACCTGTGGTAAGTACACATGAAAATAACCCACAAAACAGCATTTAAAAAACAAATGACCCAATTTACAACTGTATTTGAGCTTCTAGCTTCAAAGGCAGACGTAGTGCACAGCTTTCTAGATATCTCTGTGTAGCTTTGGGGCACATGTCCTTATAGAGTACCGAGTGTGCAGTGGGCAGCACTGACAACAAGACATCACCAGTGCTCCAGGTGTAAATGTGTCCCCAGTGTGGACTCCTCACTCTTCCACTTCACAGGAGGAGTATTTAAATGTTGTGTGACAATCAAGAGATTGCTCTGGGTAGGCCAACATCAGAACACATGCAATTAATACTGTTCTAACAGGAGGTTTATACATTTTACCGCTGCTGTTTTAGATGTCTTGAAACAAGAAAAGCCAATTTAAAGGTGTTGCCAGGAAAGTGCTAATTAAGGTGTAACATAAAAATTAAAAGATCTTAATGGGGAGAAGGGTGAGAAGTGAGTCAATTGCCTGTGTTACTACAGGATGTCACAGCCACATGAGCTAAGGCACAGCTGAGGAGGAGGAGCTCTTCTCTCAGGTAGAAGGGCAAGCCCTGCCTCTCCTACATGAGCAGTTGGTAACAACAGGAGCACAACAGGTACAGCTCTTTGAGCTCCCTGGGGCTACCAAGCCTGAGGCAGGGGATGGAGGATTAATTAGCTCCTGCTACCGCTCTCCAAGATGCTGAAGCAGCTTAAGAAAATCTGCATTGCCAAATTTAATCTTTCCAATGAGCACATTGTTTTTTTCCTATGTAACTGTTCAATTAATGCAAACACATGTTTTCAAACAAATGAAGCCTTCTATCATTGAATCTTATCTACTGATAAAGCTGATTCTGATTTAATTCACATATAATGATTTTCAATTCCAGTGGGTGCCGTGATTCCTAAAGGTAACACAACAGTCAGCTCCTGCAGTGCCCAGCGCCTCTCTGGTTTTGCTAGCAGTCCCCCAAGCCCCTCCAGTGAGCTGAAGAACTCAGACTGGAGTCCAATAACACAAGACACTAGTAAGCAATGGCAGGCTTATGGCAAGAGCCAACTCCAACATGTGGGATCATGCTGTGGAGCATCAAGGAGCTGGGAGAAGTTCCTGAAGGTCTTTGGGCATCATGGGAGCAACAACAGACTGCTTACAGCAGCAGTGGGAGACAGCAGGTTTGAAAGATGAATCCTGTCTTATTCTTAAGTGTATTCTCTGTGATTTTAAACACAGGCATATAGAAGTGCATCCATTATGCATGTCCTCAGCAGTCGCACTGTACCACTGAAAATAACATTGGCATACAGGAGCCGGGGACATTACAGAGATTTGGTTTCCTTACTGGCAAGAGTGAGAGATTACAGCATTTCACACTATTTTTTTTTTCAGCCCTATATACAGATTTTATGTAGGGCTGTATAAAATCCCCTTCCATTTCTCCAGTGGAATTTCTACAGTGTTTCCCTATAGAGCTGTGGAGCTTTTTTTGTTTGTTTGTTTTTTAACACAGCAAATACAATGTTACATTAAAAAACTGGACCGGCAGAAGTCAGGGGCCTGAAATCATTCAAAGCCAAAGCCAAAAGAGTGTTCAGTCATTAAGCACAAGCATACTGTAGGGCATACATAAATGGGCACTGTGGCATCTCAGATGATGGAGACGTTACTCAAGTCACGCTATAATACAAGTTACTGATGATGGAGCACCAGATTATATTTTCAGCCATTGGTTTAAATGACAACTTTTTTTCAGTATAGATCCAGAAGTTAAATGCAGCACACAGCTGTGGACTCCAGGGAGATGTGTTTGTATAGCTCTCAGATCCACTGAAAGTTCCAGCGGAGACAAAGCCAAATTTCCCTTTGATAGGAGATGGTTGTTGTGGGAAATGCAAAAGAAGCAAAAGGACTTCATGTCAGAGATCATTGCTGGGAACTGGAAGAGACAGGCACAGAAATCTCACTTTATGCATGCTGTACTCCTCCCAGTACAGCTGTGATTATCTAAGCCAGAAATAAGGTAGTAAGCTAGGCAGACTTTTGATCTGAGTCAATATGGCTGCTTTCATGTGCTAACCATCCAAAAAAATGACCTCAAGTCAGGTGAACAAAAAATCTTACAAATTAGATAAGAGTGCTTGAGGACACAAAGCAGAGCTCTCCCACAGCCCTCCAACACTTCTCTAAGGCCCCGTGTGGTCCAGAAGCAGCAGATGAGTAAATCCAAGCTTCACACTCAACAGTCATGAAACAATAAGTTTCATACAAGAGAGCTTCATAACATCCCACAGATTATTCTGTGCCAAAGCAGAGTACATTTACTAGTGTTTTGTCTGGACTAGTCGTAAAATGTGCCAAGTAGCTGGATTTCTGCCACTTTCCCTGGGAGATTTTACCACAGTCCAAGACACTTCAGAGTTCCTTAGAAAGCTGTAACCAGTATTTAGGGTAAAGTTCCATCTCCATTTTCCTTGTTGTCAAAAGGAAATCCAAAGTGTGCTTGAAAATCAAAAATTGATATGAAGTGGAAATACACAACTGAAGAAAGATAAAAAAGAAATAATATAAAAAGCCCGTATCCTTCCCTATGTCAGCTATCTCTTGCACCCAATTACAAACACGAAATCTATTAAATGAAATCTGTGCTATGTGTAGTCCTGGACTGGTGTTTGTGATCAGCGAGTCAGTGGGTAAATACCAGCTTGGTCAGAGGCAAAAGAAGCCTTAGAGCACCAGCTCAGATAGTGGATAGCATTGCAAGCAGTTACTCCACCATTCCCAACCTGCCTTGGTCATTTTCTTTTCAATATTTTAAGAGTCCCTACCTAACTTATTGCTATTTCCAGCTGCTGCAATTTTATTTCCAAAAAACCCCATAGTCTCAGATGAACAAGTGCTGTATGCCCAAGGAGAGCAGCTGTAGGCCTGACCAAAAGTGTAAATGCTTGAATTCTGCTGGGGATGGCTGGACTTGAGCCTCCATTTTGTCCCAGCTGCAGATGTTCACTGAGAGGTATGGTGGGGAGGTGCTCAGGATCAGCCCTCTAAGCCACGTCCCAACCACATCCCAGCCTCGCTGCTGGAACTTGTCCTAGCCCTAAGCCCTTTAGATACAGTTTAAATACTATAAAAATAGTTGCTCTTATTAAAGTCTCTCTGCTCAAAATGGCTTACGGCTTTAGAAATCAGCTGTCAAAGTTTCAGTGCAGATGAGAGACAAGAGCTGAAATCCCTGGTTAAACTCAAATCCCCGGCAGGACACATCAATTCAATTCTTTATGTGCTCATCTTTGATGTATCTTTACCACCTTAGCTGCTACCTCCCTCCAAAATGCAGATACATTTTAAAAAAAAAGAAAGAAAGAAAATGTCCAATAAGATGGTGTGCCCAAGTCTTTCTGCCATCTCCCTATTGAGAGTCTGGCAGCCCCAGGCTGTGTTGGGGCCTTTCTCTCCCCTGTCCTACCACATGCAGAGAATCCTTTTGGCCCTTTGCCACAAAGGTCAGCACATTTGGGCTCCACAGAGAGGCATTTTATAGGTCATGACTCCTGCCACCATCCACTCATCTCCTCTGTCAGGTTCCTTAGGCTCATGTGCCTCTGGCACAGTGGTTCAGGACGGGACTAGAGCTGCTCCTCTTGGGGGCATTGCTTGGGCTGAAATGGCAGCCCCAGCATCTCTATGAGCACAGATATCCCATTTCTCCTCTGGTACCTTTCATGGCAGCCCAATAGGGACTTCACCCCTTGCTCCAGCACAGCATTTGGGGCATCCCCTTCCATCCCTCCTGGGGCACGAGCCTATTCCAACTCATCCTGCACTGCATCACTGCAACTCCATTGATTTCATAGGACCTAATCCTGATTTACAGAGGGTAACTCAGATCAGGCCCCCTTTGACTAAAGCTCCACGTCTAAAAGAAAAATACCTTCAATCAATCTTCAAGGCTTTAAAACAAAGCACACTTTAAAAATGGCTGTACCAGGAATCCATATCCTGCTTTCCTCTGACTGTAACTATCATTTTGACTTAATAAAACGTGACAGTAAAGTTTAAGGATAAAAGAAAATGCTTCATCTTTCATTTTAAAGAAAAGAGATGCCTTTAAAAAAGGCTAAAAAAGGAATCTCTTGAAAAAGCATTAATTCTTCCGTTCAGGATCTTTTGTCATTGGCGCTGTTATAATTTTATTAGAATGGAGACCAGAGAGGAGAACAGCAGTAGAAAGAGGTGAATGCTAAAGTATTCCAAAAAAGCACTGGGAGAATAAAGGAAATAAATAAAAACATTACAAAGCACAACAGCTTGGCAATGCAGCTGTGATGGGCTGGCACAGGGCAGCAAGGCCTCGGTCCTTCATCCCTGTGCCTCTCCATGCCCTCTCCACCCATCCTCACCCCATGCTTCCCTGCATAACCCCAGGGCTACCTTTTACAACAGTCCAGAGGCCAGCAGCAGGGTAGGAGCAAGGCACACAGGCTCTCCTGAGGCAAAGCAGAAGTTCTGTGCTCACCGCTGTGTGCTCCCCAGCTCCTTCCACATCCAGCCCAGCGTCACAGAGGGTTTTACGTCAGGAACAAAACAATCAAGATCTCACAACACAGGTCACTTCATTATAACCTTTCAGTTACCCAGATCTATCTAAATTATTATCCAGTTCACTCTTTGCAGAAGAGAAATCAGTTTAACTCAATATGCTGCTATTTTTACAGCACGGTCACCAGCTGCAGGCTCCTGCAACCCAAACAGATCTTCACCCTTCAAGAAGGCCCTTAAGAACTGGAACCTCATAGAAAAAGCCCCCATTGGATAGAGCTGAATCAACAATAAAAGCCCCTGTGTAACAGAGCAAAACACACTGTGCCACTGGGATGTGGCCAAAGCTGGTG